CTTATTGATTTGCCTTGCTTTCACTGAAAAAATACCCATCCATCTTGAACAGAAGTCGAGAAATTTGCGATTGAAGGAGATGGGGTCGCTTGGTTTCAGTGGTAAAATTAATGAGAAAATGGCTGCCAAAGTTTGGTAACTCCAATTGAGCAGCTAAAAAGTTTTTGAAAACTGAAAAATGACATATTTTATGCCTTTAATTAATGTTTTTCGGTAAAATCCATACAGAAATGTGTTCTCTCATTGGCATGAAAGTGTTGAGCCAAAAATTAAAAAGTCGATAAAAATTTCCAAACCTGCTGGAAAATGCCAGTTTTTTTCAGTTTCTATATTTTGACTATCGCCTGATTTCACCACACTGCCTCAAAAATTGTACCATAATTATGTTTCTTTTCTTGCTTTCTCCAGCATTTTAAAATTTGACTACAATTAAAATAAAAATTCAGAACTTTTAGGCTCAGTACACCTGGCCGGCTGGCCGACGGTCTGTTCTGTTGTATAAAGTTGTCGTTGTACGTGCGACGTTGATCAATATGTGACAATATGATGGCTGAGACACGACATAACAGTCAGTAATTCACACCCTAACTTACCTGTAAACGTGAACCAAGATGTCTGTCCGCGTCGTTTTATGCAAGAAAAATTCTGAAATTATGCGAACTGAGCCCCAAATGAGCCCAGGGCGTATGGATGGGTTCAAAGGGAGAGAAAACAAGACCAACAAAAATTTAATGTAGGTGTTTTTAAAGCCCCCCTTGAACAATTTAGGTCAGAATAATCCGATAATTTCATAGGCGGGATCCGAACTTAACTGTGAGGGCCAAACTGGGCCCAGAGGGATACAGTATCCCAACAGAAAGGAGATACTTGATCAACATTCTCCTGACTGGGGGAATCGAACCTGGCTCTCCTGCGTGTTATGTTGAAGTGCTTAACTTAACTGCTGGTCAAAGCAAGATGACGGCCAGATTATATTTTTAAGACGGACAGAAAAATGAGACCACACAGCAGTTTACAGCTTGTTCTACCAGAGTGACTGGTGGGGGCTGCGGTGTGGTGTGCTCCTTCCTTACAATCAACCACCTGTCATCCTTATCTTTCCTCCTTGGCTTTATTTGTACTTCACTTTCTCTAGCAACGTGTCTAATCTTTGGCACTTGTAGGACCTATTTGTGTTCCAAGTGCCGTAAAACTCTTTTTCTTCGTCTCGTTTATCTCTATATGGACATCCCAGTCTCTAGTGCCGAGGCCACTGATCGCTACAGATCCTCCAGGCCGATCTTTTACGGAAATAAAATAAAAGAACTCGCCCTATTGAGAGACAAAAACACCTCTCCTATTTGGAGATAATATTTGAACTTGAGAAAGACATCACAGCATGTTTAAACAAAAATAGTTTGGACTAGTTACACGTGATACAAGGCACACACACAAAAAAGCATTAAAAAGTCATGACTTGAAAAATAAGATTTAATTGCAAAACATCGTCATAGGTAACAGCAATGGTATCTTCAGTAGGTAAAACAACTGTAAACATTATATCAAACAATCGAGAAGATTGGAAGTCACTGAGAATCCTATTTATTTTGCAAAGTCCGATGCGATGTCAAACGCTACAACTAACTGTAGAGCTAGATTTAGTAACAGCAACAGCACTGCATTGTACCATAATACTAAAGTAGAAAAGAGTCATGTGTTTAGAGAACAGCTTTCTGTTTCAACGAATCCTCCTGCCACATAAAAAAACAAAATCATTCCACTTGTTTCTAGATGCCTTTAGGAATGTGAGTTTACAATTTATAGGTCAGAGGTGCCAACTGGCTTTTTAAAAAATCCGGAACTTTTTGGAAATAATGGAAACGTGCTCGCAGAGGTTCAAAATTTACAGATCTCATTGTCTAATGCATCTTGTTGTATTTAGACTGTTTCTTTAAATAAGAGCGCAACATGAGGACAATCTCAGAAATCCAGATTCCCAGATTTATCCAGAAATATATATATATAATATATACCATATACGTAACAGCAGCAAATGTTGATAATGACAGTATACGTGATGTAACATGAACCAGCAGAAAACATGTGGAGACAACTGCAGCAAGGAAGAGAGAACTGTGATGAAGGACTAGGACAGATTCCACAGCACCAATGGGAGACGTGGGGACTTTGCCCAATGACTTTTTAGTAACTCCGCACAAGATACTGATGGCTGATAGACCACTCATAACTAACTGACACGATAAAGGAAAACCTCTAGTTTGCACAGCTAACCCCCAAAGAACTCGAAAGAACTGCCACCAAAAGAAGCGCTTGGCGTGGGGCTGTCCGTCTTGCCAGCAGAAAAAGCCATACCAACTACAGGGAGAAGCTGACTATGAGAAGAGAGAGGAGACATAAGCCAACCACCACAACCACGACATTCCAGTGTCCCTACTGCCACAGACATTGTACATCCAAGATCGGATTGCACAGCCACATGCGCGTCCACAGACGAGCTGCAGGATTTCATCGTCATCTTCGGCAACGAAGGACTACCTACACAATACAACTAACAGAATGAACTCATCGGAATGTTTCCGTTCAAGGATATGTACCGTATATTGAAATATTTATATAAACATTCAGTTTTGAAATACTTAAAACCTATGTAGTAGTAATAGAAAAAAAAACGTAAGTTAGAAAGCTTCTATCCCTGGAATGAAAAACTTTTGAAAAACAATCCTCAGTATTTGTTGACGCTCAAGACTGATCTTTTATCACCCAAAAAAAACAACCAAGCACAGAGCGGGGGGGGGGGTGGGGGGGGGGGGGGGGGGGGCAAGCATGAGCACATTGAGTCTTATCAAAAGGAAAAAGCTTGGGCAAAACTCTCAATTTCTCACGGCAAAACGTGTTGATATTTCATTCTCCAAAAGTACACCCATGCTTCTACCAGGCTTTCTGCCTGTACAAAAACAAAAAATTAAGCAAATCCTACAGTTCTTATTTCCAGTCAGCATGTGTATAGATACATGATACACGTTATCACTGCTGGGGAAAAAAAAGAAGAAGAGGCAAGTCTGTTACGGAAGACTTGAGGGAATGTAAAAAAAAATAATTAAATAACTAATCTTTAGTTTTAGTTTTTGTAGAGGTTTTACGGCGCTCGCAACTGCATAAGGTTATATGAGCGCCAAAAGATTAGAGGTGTTACAAGAGAGTAACATTAGTAACAAACATAAAAAAAGAAGAAAAGGCGATAAGGACGATAGATGTTCGACGGGGAAAGGAGGAGCAAACCACACCAGAGCACCCGCCAACCACCCACAATCACTAATCTATCTAATGATACTGATGATATATTTCAACAGAGACAGAGATTAATTCAATTTGGGAACAAAGTAGGCCTACAAATTCCTCAGGCTTCAAGCAGTTCATCTTTCAAACATTCCAAACACACTCGATACGTGAGTAACACAGACCTTTCAAATTCTACGCGTCTCATTCATGCTTCACGCAATAAATTACTACTTTCATTTTAAAAAGAGCCGATGCATTTGCAGCATATGCCCGATAGAATATCTTGTAAAAAGGTCAAGTAAATTTCTTGCATTCATCATCACTTAATCCACAAACATCTCCATCTGTCCCCGTGGTTTTATGCACTCCGCGCATAATTTAGCAAAATTTGATAATTTTTTTCATATAATTTCTGATTATTTTCCTTTATAATTGTTCTTTGTTAAAATTAAACAGAATCGCATAATTTCACATTTTTGGGCTCAGTTTGCATAATTTCAGAATGTTTTTTTGCATAAAACTGCGGGGACAGATATTTCCGACTTTTGCTATCACAGATCCTTGGATGTGGACAGAAGTATGTCCCATTTACTTTCTCACCAAAAAGGAAGAATGAGATTTTGTAAATATAGTTTTTTCCTCAGTGAACACACATTTCTCAATCCGGCTCTTTGGACTGCCCGTTTCTTGGAGCCACTTTTTCCTAGAGAAGATAAAAAAAAACCACAAGAACAGTGATACTTTTGGAAAAGGGTTTTTAAAAGTTTTAGTAGAGGTTTTTCGGCGCTCGAAACTGCATAAGGTCATATATGAGCGCCAGAAGATTAGAGGTGTTACAAGAGAGTAACAAACATTAAAAAAGAAGGGGAGATAAGGACGATAGATGTTTGATAGGAAAGAAGAAGCAAACCACACCAGAGCACCCGCCAACCACCCTCTAGGAAAAAGGGAATAGGCCTGCTGCCCCTGTGTATATGTAACAATTCCCCCACACACACTTCTGTCACATCTAAGCAGAAAATTCAGCTCACTCACATTCCACTCAAGAACTACAAATACAAGAAAAGTTAAGCGGAGAGTTTGGGAGTTCCTCAAAGTTCCGGAGCGAAAAGCTTCACGTTTCTACAGTTTGGTTTCAAGATGTAAGCCTACTCTTGGCCTACTCCATAAAAGATTTGTTTGCCACTTGAAGTCCCGACATATATAGACCAGCTCCCCACTTTCTATTGCATACAGATACATATTTAGTAAAGGAACACAGCAGTTTTCAGATGAATGGTATTATGGGTAGTCAAATGTCACGGCAGGAACACAATCCGGTGAGTAAATGCAGTCAACAAAACCACAACAACCCCCCCCCCCCCCCCCCCCCACCTGTGCACGTAGCAGGCAGGTAGATTGCTTAAGATAAGACAAGACTTGTATCAAGGAAGTTTAGAGCGATAAACGCATAATTCACACCCATGGGAGTGGTCAGCAATGACTGCTTGTCAAAACATTCCATATATATATATATATATATATAATCCTCTAAGTGTCAAACAAAACTTTTCGTGGGCTCAGGGAATTTCGAAAATTGCACCTCAGCACCCATTAAATCAATCACAACACTAGCAACAGATTTACGTCTGATTAAATTGGCCCACGACACTCGGGCTGGAAAAAACCTCTCTGGATAAAGAAAGCATAAATCAATTAGTATAAAAAAAACCAAGAGCCAATATCATTTAACAATTTATAGAAAAGTTCATTCAAAATGTGCGGAGTCCTACACAGCACTAAGGTGTACCAGTACTTCATCTTTACCTAGCTCTCATCAAGCCAAGAAGGACTACAATGTACATCACATATGTTGGTAATTACTTCTCCTCAGTGAGTCTTGACAATCACATATCCACCAGATAGTCTCAGAGAATACGTAACGTACCAGAAAATCACACTCAGCAAGTTAAAAAAAAAAAAGAAGAAGTTAAAATAAGACCTCATGAAAGTCCAAACTGCAAACTAAATTCTTGAATACAAAGACATTTGATACAAAACCTTAAATATGAATCAAGTAAAAACGGTTCTAAGAAAGGAAACTAAAGCTTTGCAACGTCATGTTCACAATTTCCAGTTCAAAAACTATTTCTCACATTTTTGAAATAACAGAGAAATTTATATTTGTGAACAAATATGAAACAAAAGTCTTCTTAATTTACTGAAACAAAAGTCTTCTTAATTTACTGAAACAAAAGTCTTCTTAATTTACTGAAACAAAAGTCTTCTTAATTTACTGAAACAAAAGTCTTCTTAATTTACTGAAACAAAAGTCTTCTTAATTTACTGAAACAAAAGTCCTCTTAATTTACTGAAGCAAAAGTCTTCTTAATTTACTGATCAGGTCTTGGAAAAAATCATAGACCTTGAATACCTATACAGTGCGAGAAAATCTGAATCTTTTCATCAAATGTTTTTCCCAAAGTGAAAATGACAACCTGGCTCTTGTGATATTTCCTTCTGCTAGGCACGATACAGGCAGTAGATGCCAAATCAAAATCCTCTAACCCCAAACTTTTGGAAAGACGGTCTATCTATGTCCTTCTCATTGGTAAAAACACATTTTTCGATGAGTGATTCAGGACTGCCAGTTTCCCGTAGCCAAGTTTTCCTGGGGAAGATTGCGGGGTCTAAGTCTAATAGTACACACAGGACAGTATAACTAACACAGGACAGTATAACACAGGACAGTACAACTAACACAGGACAGTACAACTAACACAGGACAGTACAACTAACACAGGACAGTAGAACTAACACAGGACAGTAGAACTAACACAGGACAGTAGAACTAACACAGGACAGTAGAACTAACACAGGACAGTATAACACAGGACAGTAGAACTAACACAGGACAGTAGAACTAACACGGAACAGTAGAACTAACACAGGACAGTATAACACAGGACAGTAGAACTAACATGGAACAGTAGAACTAACACAGGACAGTATAGTGGGTATAGAAAAAAAGTCACACAGGTAACTTATCAAAATTAAAGGGGGAAAAAAAGCAAATTTCAAAAATCAATATGAAAGATAAATTGTAATACAATTGAGCAAGAGGCTAATGCAAAGTTTTATAACTATGAATCCAGCACATATAACATTGTCACAGTTTCTGAAAGTACTTTTAAAAAAAAGAAAAAGAAAACCTGCTTCAGCATTAGGAAAATGAATCAGATAAAAAGCAGTTCTCTTAGCCATGTACACTGCATTTATAAGTAATGAAAATGAAAGCACTTAAAAAGTCGAACAAATAACACATGAATTACAGTAAAGTCTGGGATTATTTCCAAATCCTCTGCAGAAACGCTGCAAACACTCTAGAAATACAAAGAAACCAAGGAGTACTATACAGATACAGTACTCCTTGAAAGAAACACTTACATTGTGGACACTTTGTCCCCCGGCCCTTCCACACAGCCAACGACGGTCCCTTTGTTCGTGTTCTCCACCCAGCCCATCAGTCCCAGTTTCTTGGCAGTGCTTTGTGTATGCTGCAAATAAATTGAGACAGACAGCAGTGTATATTTATATATATTTTATATACATACTTGTGTTACAACTTGGTGGGATCAGGCTCTCGTCAATTTTTGGGCATGTGGAGTTATTGGTATCATCTTAAAGCTTGTTCATTTGCCTCGGTTTGATTTTTTTAAATACCAATTTATCTTCAATAGAAGTCGAGATATTTGCCCTTTAAGGATATGGAGTCGCCTGGTTTCAGATATAAAATTAGCGAGAAAATGGCCGCCAAAGTTTGGTGACTTCCATAGCTCAAGAGTTCTTGGAAACTGCAAATTTATATTTTTCGTGCCTTTAATCAAAGTTTTTCCATAAAATCCACACATAAAAGTGTTTCTGAATGGACATGCAAGGCGTTTAGCTAAAAAACAAAAATTTGAAAAAAAATGTCTAAACTGACGGAAAAACGCAGCTGTTTCTCCAATTTCTGCATTTTGATGAGCGCCTGATTTCATCACCATGCCTCACATTTATATCTGAATTGGTACTAGTCTAAAAGAAATTCCAACAATAATGTGAGGCTTTGAGAAAACCCCTCGGATGGTGCGGAATTTATTTTGAGATATCGCTGAAAATAGGCTCTGAACTTCATTTTTATCGAAAACGAGATTATATTAAATTCAGAAAGATAAATAATTTTTCATCATATGGTTCAAGGAATTTGCTCAAAAATTATTCTAAATATTTTTAAAGAATTATTTTTGAGGACATTGTCAACACCAAATCCTAGACAAACAGAGGGAATCTTTAATCTTTACTCAATCGGATGGACACTTTCTTTCCACTGGAACCCCCCACATATTATATATACACCAAAAGAAAGAAAATTATAATGCCGTTTCGGGAAAACCCAGTGCGCATGAATATTTAAACATCACAAATAGTTACAAGAGTTGCGCATCTTCTAGTTTCACTTCTGAAAAGTTTTTTTCATGATAGCCGTTTAACCTTCTTCTGTTCCATTTCATGCCATTCAAACCAAATGTGAACTGTCCGTAATTGAAATTAATTTAAGTTCTTCGTTCTGCTCAGCAAAGTATTTCTTTCGAGTTTACAGCAAGTAAACCGCAAGTTTTCTGTTTTCAAATGATTGAGCACTATTGTTTACATCATTTTAATTTGTTCCCAATGTAAAAAAAACTTTAAAACCTGTTTTCTCAAAACTTCACCTTTGGACTCCTGCGTACCTTTAAAAAGTCATAACTTTTCACAGAATGCTCCAATTGCACTCAAATAAAGTGCAAAATGCTCAGGAAAGATGTGTGCCTTTCAAAAAATTATAAAAGTCAGTTGTGAAAATTTGCAATATGTGAATGGTTTTCTCAGAGCCACACATATCAGGGTTGGAGGGTGGGGGGTGGGGGGGAATGAGCGGTTGTTAGTGCAGCAAAGAGGTGACCGTCTTGGACAGGTGGCCACGAGAGCAGGTTTGACTGTAGCTTTGTTTTGTTATTTCCTTCAGCCTAGTTTTTAGTTGAAAAATTATAACAAGTGTCCAAGTCACGACTCTGAATTGGGCGCTCTCTTTGAAAAAGAAATTTCTGTAAACTCTAATGTTGCAAAACTCTAACTCCCCCTCTAAAAAAAAAACCAAAACTGTCTGAAGGGTGCTTGTGAAATGACACTGACGATGAATAATGCTTCATGTCACAGCCAGGGTGCCCACAAATCTATAGAAATGTATATGTATGCTCACTAATTATAATGAATTATGATGTGTACGTGTACGATGAGAGGGAGAAATTAACCGTTTGTTATGTGTGTGTATGTGTGAGTGTGTGTACATGAGTCCCCTTGTCCACGTAATAAGTATGTCATTTCTTCTAAGTACTGTGTGTGCATTATATATATATTATATATATATATATATATATATATATATATATATATATATATATATATATATATATAGAGAGAGAGAGAGAGAGAGAGAGAGAGAGAGAGAGAGAGAGAGAGAGAGAGAGAGAGAGAGAGAGAGAGAGAGAAAGAGAGAGAGCAAAAATTAATTTTTCAAAGTATCTTTTAAATAAACAGTTTATCGAGGTTAAAAAATGGGAAGGAGTTCCGCAGAGGGCCGGCGGACAAACAACACACAAAAGAGGAGATATATTTTGAGGAGCAGGGTATACCCAGACCATAACCTTAACCCTAAATCCTAACCCTAAGCCCTAACTCTTGTATAGTTTGCTCAGTGGACCTTGTCATGGTAAGTGCCGCCCTCTCAGACCCTCCGCGGAACTCCTCCCAAAAAATGTATATTATTGTGCTTCGATTTATGGAGGTGCCTGGAGCTGTGTGCACTTGGAATAAGTAGGCCTTCGTATTATAAAAAATATCTAATCAACAAGGAGACTAAATTAGATCTAAAATCTAGCTAGCGGTCTATCCAAAAATACTTGACGGACCGCAATGTTGAATTTGTATTTTGTTGAGACTCTTCTTGACAAGACGGCAGTAATTGTAGGCCCTACCGGCAGTGGTAGTGGTAGGCCTAACTATTCATAAATAAGCAAAATACATACCTTTCGAAAGAATACACCTTGAACCCTCCCAAAAACTTCAAAATTGACAGATTTCAAAGATACAGAAGCCATGGTTCAGCCTAGCCGTGATCAGCACTGGCAGTACGTTGTTGTGTGTGACCACCTCTGCTAGCTTCAGACAGCACGCCTGTCGTGTTTACAAACACAGCGGTGAGGTCAATAACAGTCACCGGAAGTATAAAAATATGGGAACAAAAGTACCATGGCGACGAACGGTGCTTGTGATGACTGCAGGGGTTAAACAGAGTCAAATATATTCATCCTACTCCTACAGTATAAGCTTTTTGAATAGATGTTTTTATTATTTACTTCTGCAACTACAGTCTACCTAATTTTCTTATTATTCATTTTCTTTCCTTTTTTTAATAAACAAAAGGTTTAGTTTTTGTAAAATTGTATAATCTCTAATAAATGTATATTTGTCACAATAACTTAGATGACTCTAATCATAGAATTAATTGTAAACATAACAGCTGATATAGAAAGAATTATAAATATTATCACTTACTGAAGCAATAAAAAAATTGTGTATCCCTAACTTATTACAAGCTGCACACTTTCAGTTACAAGGTTAGGTTTAGAGACTATACCAGGAAGCTTCCTTGACAACCATTGAAGCCAGAGGAAGGAAGTGCCTTTGACCCAAACTAATAACATTGCTTCTCGCTTTACATTTTTATGTCCCCTCACCGGACCTAACACAATCAACGCAACTACAACGGAGACAGAGAAGAACAGCCAAGATGACGGTCAGCTTAGAAGAGTATTTCCGCACGACATTTGAGGACAAGCTCCTCGTGTAAGTTACGTTTAATTAAATGACAAGCCAGAAAATGGCCCGCCTTTGGCGGCTAACGCAGTATTATTATAAGGCCGTAGGGTTCAGAATCATAGCTGTGAATGAGCTATGCTTTCAAGAGGTCTACTTCTCTTGGCTTTGGGCAATTTCAGTGCTTGCTTTTGGTGCTGTTTTCTGTAGATACACTTCTCGACTGGCTTGATCAAGGTGCTGTTTGACTGTCCGCTTTACAATTACATTCACTCTTTTTTCACCACCCTGATCCTTTCATCCTTTCTCTTCATCTTACTACTTGCAGTGCAGGTCTTGATCATGTGTTTATATAAGCTACTATTAAAGCTGCTACTGTAGCATCCCAGACTGCCAAATCGGTAAATATTGAGAGTCCCATGGCCTATTTATATAAATCAGGCCTGCACCAAGTGGATCTGTAGTGAAATTTGTGGTGAGATCTGGGTGTAAACTTTGTCTCCATCACTGTTCACCTCCCTCCCTTCCCTAACCGTACGTGTATGCCCTTCCCCAATCTCTTCTTCTGAAGGTATAGAATTTATGACAGTGAATTTTTACATCTCTGCTTTATATTCATGCACTGCACAAGCCCAGACATATTAGGATTCGTGAAAAAGAATCAAAGTCAAAGCCAATAACAACTCAATAGAATATTTGAGATTTAGAACGGTTGTACTGAGACTTACTGATACCATGTTGTCCTGTTATTGTGCTGTGTGTTTAACTCTTATACATGTTGTCGTGTTACTGTACCTACTTATTTACTTACTACCCGTTACGCCTTCTGGCGTTTAGGGCAGCAACAAAGGATTTCCAGCTATGTCTGTTTTGGGCCATCTTGGTCAACGTCCCCCACGAATGTTTCCAGGACTTCATTTCAGACTCTACTGTGCGTCTCCAGGTCACTTAAATTTGGGTCTGCCCCTCTTGCAATGTCCTTCGGGTGGTCGTGTTACTGTGCTGTGTGTTTAACTCTTGTTTTTCACCCTTCTCAGCAAAATGCCGGAGCGGGAGGATGACCACCTCACACCTGCGACTCGCTTGTTGGAGAAACGCAGAGAAATGGCAGAAGTAGAGCAGGCATTGGCCGCTCAAAAAGAGGTATGAAATAATGAAATATCCCACTTTTCCTTTCTTTCTCACAGTTTGTAAAAAACTGGACTTTCCCATAGATTCTTATATCCTCAGATTTGCATTTCAAGTAGCCTATAATATAGCATTAGTTTTTCACAAAGTCACAGTTGAGGATTATTACTCTGTTTTCCTGTATGAGTTTGTGAATCTTACAAATCAGTGTATTTGTTAGGTTAAGGAATTTTAGTTTCTTGGGTTCTTGAGCATCAGTGAGAAGAGAGTTACATTTTGACAGTCGAGTTGACGTTCTTGTGATCTTGAGAGACTGGCTCCATCACTGAGTTCTCGCTCATTTTAACTTTTATATATATATTATTTGCTCTTGTCTCGCCTGGCATTGAGTCTTTGATACATAGTATGGTCAGTTAAGCAGTAAGGTTGATGGTTTATGTATAAAGAGAAAGATTATACATTTTGATGTTTTGCTTGTGATTTTTACACACATATCTCATGTGTCATATGAGTTTTGATTATTGTGTTTTAGAATTGGATTACTTTTTTGCTTTCAGGAATTCCAAATGAAAATGGAAAGTTTACAGCAAAGAAGGGAAGAGCTGGAAAGAAAAGAGTACCAGTTAAAAGATTCATTACTGAAATTTGACAAATTTCTAAAGGTATGTTTTGTTCATGTCAACTTTGTTAAAAAATTTCTATCAATCTTATGTGATTTTGTTGTCATACTTTAGTCAGAGTATCTTCCTTTTGGCTTCTTTTTTTTTTGATTGAACAAATATAAAATTCCATTTTGTTGATTTTTTATTCATTTCCCTTTGTTAACTTGTTTACTCTCGGATGTTATTATATTTCCTATTTTTATTGAAACATAAAACTCTCATTGCAAAACACACCATGGTGCTTTGCCGTAACTTTTACAGAGATTGATATGTGAAAAGAAGGTCCTGGATTTATTGAATTGCGTGTTAGAGAAAGGCTTGTACAATTTCAAAGTTGTAGTCTTTCCCTGTGGTATATTTAACACTTATATATATGATGTTGGTGTTTTCACAGGAAAATGACTCGAAGAGAGCCAGAGCTGTGAAAAAGGCCAATGATGAACGAGAATTGAAAAAGCAGAAAGATAAAGAAATTGACAGGTTTGTGTTGTGATTTCTAGTAACAGCGAAAAGATGATTTTCTTTGTCTCTATGAAATTTATTTTACACTTTCCTGCATACTGGCTTGTACGGCAATAGTTTTTAACAAGCATTATTGCCCTGTTCTTACTGTGTTTACAAAAGATATTTATCTAAACCTTTCCTGAGTGCTGCAGCACAGCAGCTTGTTTGCAGAAAGTCCAACTTGATGAGGCTCCTCAAATTAGAAATGTTGAGGCCAAGACAGAAGCCCACGTGCTGCGCACATCTATGAGTGAAAAGGCAAAGCTTTTAAATGCTCAAAATGTAGAAAATTCCTCTCCGCCAAAATTGGTCTCATTGGCCATAGCAGAAGTCATAAATCTTCTTAATCCTTACATTTCTTCAACTTGGCTTAAAACACATTTTTTGCTGCAGATGCCTTGGCCATTGTCAGACATTGACAGATAAACTTTTATTATTATTATTATTATTATTATAATTATTATTATTATTATTATTTTATTATCATTATTATTATTATTATTGTTATTATTATTATTATTATTATTATAAGCATTATGAGGGGGGCTCTCGTGGTCTATAGGTTATGGCGTTTGCCTCTCATTGTTCAATAGGTCCAGGGTTTGAAACCTGATAGGGACAGAAAATTTTGTTCTCTAAAATGTTTTCCTTTCACCTCCTTTCCTGCTCTCTAACAATGTTCTGTTGTCTGCTTTCGTCTCCACTTCCTGCCCCAACTCCCTCGCCTCCTTTGCCCCCTCCTCTGGGCTCCTGACTCTTTCTGCAACCTTATTACTGCTACTCCTTGGCTCCTGCTTACTGCAATCTTTCAGTCACACCCGTATCTTATGGTAGGTAAGATTTACACTTGGCCTTCTCGGAAAAGGCCAAAAAAAATCTCTGAGGTCCCGTGTGCATTTTGCGCACAATAAAGATCCCTTGGTGGTCCTAAAATCGATAAGAGTAGGCTTCGGCTGCCACCCGGCCAAAATTCAAATTTCCTACCAAACTGAAAATGTTTAATGTATCCCACACGCTCGTATGACCTAATGCAGTAGCGAGCACCACAAAACGCTTACAAAAAAAGAAACAAAAATTATTATTCTGATGATGTGTGTGTTCCCAGAGTGAAGGATGAGATATAATATTATTGTTGTTGTTGTTGTTGTTATTATTAATGTCATTATTATTGCTGTTATTATTGTTATCGCTGTTGTTATTATTATTTTATTATTATTATTATCATGATATTCGTTCCCAGAATGAAGGGTGAGACATATTATTATTGTTGTCATTATTATTGCTGTTATTATTGTTATCGCTGTTGTTGTTGTTATTGTTATTATTATTATATTATTATTATTATCATGATGTTCATTCCCAGAGTGAAGGATGAGACATATTATTGTTGCTATTATTATTATTATTATTATTATTATCACTATTATTATTATTATTATTATCACTGTTATTATCATTCTTGTGATGATGTGTGTGTTCGCAGAGTGAAGGACGAGACCGACACCCACCAGCAGCAGAAGGAGAAGCTGCACAAGAAGCTGGAGCGGTACACCATGTTCCACCAGTACATGGATCGCGTCCTGGAGGCCGGCGAGGAGTTCCACGAGATCCGTGACATCATCGCCCGATGGGACACACTCCGGGCCACGCACCTGGTGAGGCAGACGCCACGATTACCTGTCCCCGGGGTTTTATGCACCCCGCAGAATTTAGCAAAATTTGATCATTTTTTGCTTAATTTCTGATTATTTTTCCTTTATCATTTTTTGTTAAAATTAACAGAATCGCATAATTTCGAATTTTTGGGCTCAGTTTGCATAGTTGAAGGAGTTATTTCAGTAACGTACCTAAGTCACACTATGGTAGTTTTGAGAAAAAAAACCAAAAACTGTTTCTCGTTAATATAGGATAGCACTGGGACAGGCGAGATAAAACAGAGGACGTAGCTCTGACAATCAAAGATACTGTCTCCATAGAAAGCTGACAGGGTGCAGTCCCCCTTTCTTTTATCATCCTATGCAAAAATCTTGATTTTCGCAAAAATGGACTTAGGTACGTTATTGAAATGACCCCTTCAATTTCAGAATTATTTTTTTTCACAAAACCACGGGGACAGGATTACTTACTTACTTTTTATTTCTTCCTGCCTTTGGTATCCTTAGGATGTCGAAGGGAGGTGCAGGTTTCGGTCCTGTGTCTGTGATAGATATGTTATGTTGTTCCAGGATCTTTTTAACCTCGTCCAGCCAGGTCTTTCTGCTGGGACATTTCAGTAACCCACTTTTAGCACTTTTTAAGGACCCCTGGGCAAGTGTTGAGTTCCTGCGTGCTGTTGGCATTGCTGACCGTTTATGAAGCCACAGCGCCAGAAGAGAGAGAGAGAGAGAGGTCTTTCTTGGTCTTTCTCTTGATTTGAAGCCAGATTCTCGGGTGTTGTAAGCTCTAGCCGCTAGTTGTTCCTGGGGTATTCTGGTTAGATGTACAAACCATTTGACTCTTTGACACTCTATGAATTTTATTATTGGTGGTATTCTGGTTTGTAGACATTTGGTTTCGTTTCGTATGCGGTCTCTTCTGGTGACGTTGATGGTTTTGCGGAGACAACTAATTTCGCATGCATTGATTTTTCTTTCTTATGCCTTGTTAAGAGACCGTGTTTGGCACTGGTATGTTAATGTTGGTAAATAATGGATAAATAACTGCTAAAGACCAAAGAAAGGACTCCATGATGAGTTTGTGAATTCTTTGTATATCAGACCGAAGGGCCAGAACCCAAATGGCCGCTGGATCGGAAAAGTAAAGTAAAGTGAATTCTTTGCAGATGGTCATCATCATTGCCTTTCTCTCTATGGATCAGGATGTAGGCCGCGAAAGTGACTTGTCTTCCCACTTTTCTGTACATCCATGAATGGATGCTGAAGTCAAACTATAAAGTCTTGTTTGTTTTTTTAAAGTCTTTATTACTTCATTTGGTGGTAGCAACGCCTCTGTTACATACAAAACTATTGACAGTAGAAGGACAACTTTCTTCCAGTGCGCTCCTGTCTTTGTCAGACTCCAGAATAGGAAATGGCTCACATGTACAGATGTGCTGATAATTTTCTGTGGTTTTTTTGTAGTAAATGGCGTACCATGTTGTAATGGGTTTTTTAAAATAGTATTAGTAGAGGGTTTTACGGCGCTTGCAACTGCATAAGGTCATATGAGCACCAAGGGGTGGGTGTCAACAGAGAAGTCTTTACAGGGAATCTGATTTAGACTGCTCACCTCTCTAACTTCAACAGCACAAGGTCTGCTTTGACCATCAAGGCACCCCGGAAATAGCGGGTCACAAGAGTGTGACAAACATACAAAAGAAGTAGAGGAAAATGACAATAGTAAGGATCAGGAAAGAAAAAGCAGCAGTTCCCTGTTGTAGATCAGGCACAGTTATGAGTGTGACATGAGTCAGCCCATTTACAATTCTACTATGCTTGAATGAGAAATGCCCCCCCCCCCCATTTGGGAATGGCCTAAAGACACTTCAGTCAGTGGCACTGCCCCAGGGGGTATGTTGTAATGTAAGCAGATGGAGTATTTCCTCGGTTCTGTTTTCTATTCTTATTGATAAGATTAATAAGAATTTGTTTTCATCGGATTCAGTGCATTTTATTGAATATATATGTTTTATTTGAAGTGAAATTAATTAAAGTTCTCTGTCCGACACTTATTAAACTCCTCAATTCCACATCAAGGCGGTACTTCTGACTGAAGTTGTCTTCAGGCCATTCCCAAAGGGGGGACATTAACATGTTCTTATGCACAGTAGGATTGTAAATGGGCTGATTTATCAATGTCAAGCTCATACTGTGCCGGAACAACATAGGGGGAACTGCTGCTTACATCATCCTTACTATCGTCATTTTTCCTCTACTTCTTTTGTATGTTTGTCACTCTCTTGTGAACTGCTATTTCCGGGGTGCCTTGATCGTCGAAGCAGACTTTGTGCTGTTGAGGCTAAAGAGGTGAGCAGAGTAAGCCTGATTCCTCGTTCTGACTTCTCTGTTGACATCCACCTCTTGGTGCTCATATGACCTTATGCAGTTGCGAGCTTAAAAAACAAAAATAAAACAAACCCCACAATATGTGAAGGTGAAAAAAAGGGAATTTATTGATTGTACCTTGTGATAGGGATGAACCAAGCATCTCTTTGAAACCCAGAAATTCTTTTTCACAGTTAAACATGTTTAGAGAAAGAAGGGAAAGAGATAGGGAGAGAAAGAGAGAGAGAGAGAGAGACAGAGAGAGACAGAGAGAGACAGAGAGAGACAGAGAGACAAATAGAGAGAAAGGGAAACAGAGAGAGAGAGACAGGTAGAGACAGACGCAGAGAGAGAGAGAGAGAGAGACAGAGATAGAGAGAGAAAGAGAGAGAGACAGAGAGAGAGAAAGGGAAACAGAAAGAGAAAGAGAGACATAGAGAGAGAGAGAGAGAGAGAGAGGGGGAGAGAGAACAGCTGGCTAACCTACCTCATGTCTCTCTCTGTCCCAGGACCTGCTAGAGCGGGACCAGAAGAACCAGGACCGCATCGAGAAGCAGCGTCAGGACCTGATGAAGTACATGGAGGAGAAGGAGAACCAGGTGCTCAACTACAACAACCAGCTCTCTGGCCTGCAGACGCGGCTGGACGGCGCTCAGAGCGAGGCGGTCAAGTGGGAGAGCCAGTGGAACCACATCAAGAACACGGCCGCCAAGAAGACCCTCCTTCTGGGCAGAATCAAAATGTAAGCGGAGAATTGTCTGTGCGTGCATCGTCTTCTTACTGAAATCGGGCACTCGTTGAGATAATGAGATTGAAGAAACAAGCATTTGTGCTTTGTCCTGCCTGTAGGGGCAATTTTGTCAATTTTTGTCAATTTTTGTCAATTTTTGTCAATTTTTGTCAATTTTTCTTTTCCTTCTTCTTTTCTTTTCTCTTTTGCGGGGGGAGGGGGGGGGGTGCTCATCACTTTTTGTGTCCACTCGAAAACACTTTTCTGTAAGGATTTTCTGAAATACATTGATCAAAGGCTTAAAAAAATGTAAATCTGCAGTTTTCAAGGATACTCAAGCTTTGTATTTGTAAGTCTCCAAACTTAGGCGGCCATTTTCTCACTAATTACACCTCTGACACCTGGCAACCCCCTCCCCCTTCAAACATAAATATCTCAACTAGCTGGCCGTTCTAGTCAGTGGGTGGTTGGCGGGAGCTCTGGTGTGGTTTGCTCCTTCTTTCCTATCAAATGTCTATCGTCTTTATCTCCCCTACTTCTTTTTTTGTGTTTGTTACTCCCTTGTAACAGCTCTAATCTTCGGCAGTGCCGTAAAACTCGTACTAAAACTAAAGTTCTAGTTGTAGTCATGATCTTGTAATTAAATTCCTCACGTTGTTGAATGATGCATGTGATGTGATATATATATAGCCTAAATATTGTCAGCTTTACTTTTCTTTGCTCTCTTGTAACACCTCTAATCTTCGGCACTTATATGGCCTTATTGTGTTGCAAGTGCCGTAAAACTCTTACAAAAACTAAAAAACCTGTCTCTTCATATTGAATTTTCATGAGAGAAATATATATATAATTAAAATTTTGATGTACCTGATACCTGCATGTGTTTTTACGGTCCTGTACAGCCAAAAAAAATGTCCCTCTGGGACAATAAAGTATTATTTTCTTATCTTATCTTATCTTATCTTTTCTGTAGAGCGGGGTTATGCCCTACACAAATGCTATTTATTATTATCTGATCTAATCTGATCTGATCTGATCTGATCTAACTGGTTTGTCTATCCCCCCAGGGCCACTCACAACTTGTACCAGTTGGTGAAGAGTCACCAGAACCAGTTGGACGATCTGGAGGACACCACAGAGCAGCTGTCACAGGTACGGGGGTCTGCATGGATTATAACGTATAACTCACTCACTGCCAGGCACTTCTGGGCAGGGTAACAGTGGAATGCCAGGCTCTCGGGACATTTTTCAAAACCTCACTGTGAGCTTATTATTTTGTGTACAGCATTGAACTTTTCCACAAACAATGACATTCAAACATACTCAACAAATCAAAAAAATATTTTGTGATACTTTTATCATGTGAAATTTTATGAGTTTGTGAATATGTGGCAAAATCGATAAAAAAAACTTTTACATAACATTTAGGTGCTCGGTACATTCAATGAGGATTTGAAAATGGTCCCGAAAGCCTGGCATTCCTCAAGTTATCCTGCCGAGAAATGCCTGGCAATGAGTGAGTTAAGAACAAGGGAGCTATCCCGAAAAATGCTATTTTGAGAAAGTTGAAGGTAAAGTTTTGGCCCTTTGTTTCTTTAACTCACCGAGCACCTCTCCCGCAGCATACGCGGTTCGGTAAAATTCGCGTCGCGGACCGCAGCGTACGTGGTTTCAACAATAATTGACTATAAAGTAAACCCAGCAGTTTAAGAATTCTTGCAAATAGCCCTAGTGGTTTAAGCAGGATATCGGCAAGCTAGAGTTAATTCTTTGAGGTTTGTGTTTATATACACAATCTTTAGTGCGAATAAACGGGTTATTTGTCCAACACACTGAACAACTGAAAGTAAGGAATTTCCGCTCAGTTCGTTGTTGTTTGTCGTACGCGAAGCATGGCACGGCGAGTCGTGTCGAAGTTTATTGAAACTCTCGATAATTTTGGTGAAGATTTAAGTGACAGTAAAGTATCACTAGTATCAGATAGATAACTTCATAAATCAAACTGTGAACTCGTGTAGCAGTGATGAAGATGACTGAGAAAATGACATTATTAGACTCTCGATCGGGAATCTGACTTGTCAGCGAGTACGCAGCCTGGTCCGGCTGGTGATGATGATAGATCTTGCCCCAGTACTAAACTCTAGTTCAAATCAGCCCTCAAAGTGGAGAAGATATATATATAGGCCTATATATAATGTACCCAGACCTGGGACATCTATTGACAGATCTAGTCTTAGCATGAGCAGCACTGACTATTAAAACGCTTCTCAGCCTGTCATCGAGGAAGATCTAGATCTAGATCTATATTTTTTTTCTTTTTCTAAATTAATGATCACTTACATTTTTCTGCTACTTCACTGTACACACTAATGCTTCATTCTCCTACATACAAACACACACTGCTGCAACCATTTTGTGTAAGTTTATTAGATTTCTGCTTTGTCACATCACTTCCTTTTTTTTTCGGGGGAAAATTTGTCGCAACTTTCAGTCCCATACATGCTTTTGTCATTCATTCTTCACAAAATGTGTTTATTGTGTCTGATGAACCCATGTCTTATTAAATAGCACAGAAAATTTCCAAGAAATAGCATTTCATTAAAATTTTTTATGAATTTTCAAAAAGTGGGGGAAATGGGTGGTCCCCTGGGGCTTGGAGGCAAATCGGGGCGTGGTGCTCAGTGAGGTAAAAGACAAGGAGACTTTTCTCTCTATAACTTATAACCAAACAAATATATATATTATATTAATATATACACACTGATGAAACCAAGCTTCTCCTATAGGTAGGGCAATTTGCACTCTTGGTATAGGTCAATATTTCTGGAAACGCCCGAAATCTGGGATAGCCCGCTTGTCCTTAAAAGCGACCATATGTGAAGTGTGCTGACAAAATGAGTTACTTCTCGCTATCCACAAATGGAATATATTGGCCCAAAATCGACACCAGGGTCAAATTTGTAGATTTTCTGTTGATGTCATATTCTTTAACTACTATAACATTCCTTTTATTTCTTTCCTACTTATAAACTGTAAAAACTTCCCCTATAGCGTGATGAATCTATTGCTGTAACTGTAAGTTGTAGGGCTTGAATCCAAGTGTTGCGTGTAATGTATCACGTCTTGTATATTTTGTCCACAGATTCAAATTTTTGTCCAAGACCTGAGTCAAATCACGTCGGAGATCAAGAAGATGGAGCACACCGGGACCTCCATCTTCGCACCTTCTTCCAGCTAGGGATCTTTGTTTCTCCATCGTTTATTGGTTTATGTAGAAACTTTTGCTACGGGGGGTAGGGGGGGGGGGGGGGGGGGGGCTATTTGTTAATGTTTTGGATTTCTGAAAATCTTAAGTTGTGTTGCTGTTTTTCATTGAACGGTGTAGGAGTAGGAGGAGGAACAATGATCGGATGTGAGAGGAACAATGATCGGATGTGAGAGGAACAATGATCGGATGTGAGAGGAACAATGATCGGATGTGAGAGGAACAATGATCGGATGTGAGAGGAACAATGATCGGATGTGAGAGGAACAATGATCGGATGTGAGAGGAACAATGATCGGATGTGAGAGGAACAATGATCGGATGTGAGAGGAACAATGATCGGATGTGAGAGGAACAATGATCGGATGTGAGAGGAACAATGATCGGATGTGAGAGGAACAATGATCGGATGCGAGAGGAACAATGATCGGATGTGAGAGGAACAATGATCGGATGTGAGAGGAACAATGATCGGATGTGAGACTGGCGTCTGATGTGTAACAGTTTGCCTCCTTGCTGTTGGGACGCACTACACCACAGGAGACCTGAGTTCAATTCTCTATTGGGGGAGGAAGTGTTGTTGAGTGTCCCTGTCTTTCTGCTGGGGTATTGTATCCCTCTGCTGGGATATTGTATCTCTCTGCTGGGATATTGTATCTCTCTGCTGGGGTATTGTATCCCTCTGCTGGGATATTGTATCTCTCTGCTGGGATATTGTATCTCTCTGCTGGGATATTGTATCTCTCTGCTGGGGTATTGTATCCCTCTGCTGGGATATTGTATCTCTCTGCTGCGATATTGTATCTCTCTGCTGGGGTATTGTATCCCTCTGCTGGGATATTGTATCTCTCTGCTGGGATATTGTATCTCTCTGCTGGGATATTGTATCTCTCTGCTGGGGTATTGTATCTCTCTGCTGGGGTTGGCCCTAACAGGCAGGATCAGAAGCCCGCCTCCTAAATATTCTAAATTGTGTCGATGGAGCGTAAAAACACCTACTTTTTACCAAATTTTTTTTTTTTTTTTTGGTGAGAGAGAATGTTGAGCTGTCAATGTTGTTGTTCCTGATGAATGTGGACAAGATTTGGTGTGCTCAGGGTAGGCGACTGATGCAGTTGAGAACAGAATATTTCTGTGTACGAGTGTGTGTATGCTTGTTTAATTGTGTATAGATCCAGTAGGTGTGGGTGGGAGAGTTGAAGAAAGACGGAGCATGAGAAAGAGAGAGGGGGAGAGAGAGAGGGAGAGAAGTGTGTAAAAAAAGAGAGAGACAGCAAGACACAGATTCACAGAAAGAGAGAGAGAGAGAAGAGAGAGAGAGAGAGAGAGAGAGAGAGAGAGAGTGAGAGTGAGAGAGAGAGAGAGAGAGTCTATGAATTGATTCGCTGGTGTTTCCCTGGTGGACATATTTCATGGTTGTGATGAAGGTACAGTACACAGGATATACGTACTATAGTGCAGTCAAAAATTTGTTGCGCAACTTATCTGCAAATATCTTTTTAATGGGTGAATCAAATCACCCATACTTTGCACAGCAGCTTGTATCAATTTGCAATAACCGAATTATATTTTTCCACAAAAATTGAGGCAAAATTTTAAAACTTTTCTTCGTTACCGTTAATTTATATAAAATACTACAAATCTCCTTCTCGCGGAAAATGGAATTGTTCACAGCACTTCCCGCTTCTCACACATATTTTGCGTACTTTTTTCCACAAGAGACCTTTTCCCTGTCAATTCTCCGTTCTGTTGTGATTTCACTACACGATGGCATCCAAGAAGTGCTGCAATATTGATGCGTTATCGGACGAAAGCGATGATGAGCCGTTTCATGGGGTTGAATCAGACATTGAAATAGGTGAATTAGATATGATGATAGCGATGCTGACCCTCCATTTTGTGTGTGGGAAGGTAAAAGAAGGCAAAGATTACCTGATTCTAGAGCTAGATTTACTAGTAGTGTGCCAGGATCTATAAGTCCTAGATCTAGATCTACCATTTCTCAAAAAATAGTTTTTTTTTAAAACCCTGTCGCATTGTAAAGATATTCGGCATGGGTAGTGTAGCTTACACTAAAGCGTGTAAATGCACAGCACACAAAATTTCAAATCCTTAAGTACCGGTACAATAGTTTTTAAGTTACGATCTTTTTTTAAACACTGTAAAAACCCTGGCAGACCACCGCTGTTGAGGCACCACTGGCCTGGCAGTCAGTGAGTTAAGAGACGGCTGAGGCAGGCGACTGTAAGAAGAGGCTTATAATTCGCTGATGAAAATCTGCAGGTTATGAAAGTGAAAGTAGGTTATTTTGTTTTATATTTCAATTGTGCAACCAAAGGAAACATGTTGGAGATGTTGGTGGAAACTCTCAAGAATTCTTTATGTACATAGTGTATTCATGTAACTGATTTCGATTGTTGTATACTTTTGTGAATTGCAAGCCATTATGTGTGCCCATGTAAATATATTGCTGTAAGTTTTTTTTCATGGAATTTACATCTGTGATCATGTTTTCAAATTTTCTGGTTTCTAAGGAAGCAAAAGAGTACCGGTACCAGAGAGAATGAATCAACATCAACTTCCATTAAGCTTTCATTTCGCCATATATGTAATAACATTGGAATAAATATCATGCACTAACTTTCAAGTTGTGTTTGTGCTGGTCTTTAGCGGGTGAAAAATTGGCGTGGTTGGGTTTGTTTGTTTCAGTAGAGGTTTTACGGCGCTCGCAAATGCATAAGGTCATATGAGCGCCAAGGGGTGGATGTCAACAGAGAAGTCCAAATGGAGAATCAGGCTTTCTCTGATCACCTATCTAGCCTCAATGTGGCGTCTCTGGCCTAGTGGTTAGGCTACCGGACTCGTAATCATGAGGTTGTGGGTTTAGGGGTTCGAGCCACGGGCCCGATGTTGTGTCCTTAGGAAAGGCACTTTACATGAATTTTCCCCACTTCACCCAGGTGGGAATGGGTACCCAGCTATAGACAGTGAAAGATCTTGTCAGTTTGTTAGTGTTTGAGCGCTTAACTAGCTGCTTGCACTGCATGCTTCCCGGGAAGCTGAGAATGTTTCTGAGTGTTATTCGGTCTGCTGGGGTAAAAATATAGTGTCAAGCCCATAGAGCTTGCTTTCGAGTGGTGACATGAGCTATACAAATGCTATTTATTATTATTATTAATAGCACAAAGTCTGCTTCGACTATTAATTAAGGCACCCCAGAAATAGCAGTTCACAAGAAAGTGACAAACAAACAAAAGAAGTAGAGAAACTTTTTTGAGTACCTGCTAATCTATTGCACTTAAAATGTTTTCAAAAGGGTGGGAGTTTTAACACCCTTGTTGAGTGGGGGAATCAACTTGGATGAATGTGTGGATTCTTCTTTGCGAATATTATATCAAAGTGTATCCAGACTATGTCTTCATCATCATGTAGGCCTTCACTCTGATCGGGTACAGAAATCAAACAGAATATATATATTATATAATATATATATTATATAATATATATATATATATATATATATAAATATTTTAAAAAAATTATTTAAAAAAAAAAAAATTAAAAAAAAAAAAAAAAAAAAAAAAAATATATATATATATATATAATTAAGCTCATGTGGTAGGCCTACACACAATGGAATTGACCTAAGTTTATTTGGAACAAAAACATATTTTTTAAAATTAGAAAATCAGTACCAAAGTAATTCATCTATCATGTTGAATTAACGTTCTTATTAAATAAAAGAAATGGGAGGTAGTGTGGTGAAATCAGGTGCTCGTCAAAATAATGAAATCGAAGAAATAATTTTTCTGTATGTTTGACAATTTTTTGTGAATTTTTTTTTCTGGCTCAGAACCTTTCGTGTCCATATAAAAACACATTTCCAAGTGAATTTCACAGCAACACGTTGATTAAAAGCACAAAGTCTGTAATTTAATCGTTTTCAGGGACTCTCGAGCTTTTGAAATTGTCAAACTTTGGCGGCGATTTTCTCGCTAATTTTACCTCTGAAATCAGGAGACCCACACCTCCTTCAATTGCAAATATCTCGACTTCTATTCATGATAGAAGAGCATTTTTTTCAACGAAAATAAGACATATGAACAAGTACAAGCTTTAAAATTATACCTATAACTTGACTCCATATGCCCAAAAATTGACGAGCGCCCGTCGAGATACAAATGTTACGAATATTCAAAAAGCTTACACAAATACAATGATTCATTAGTCAACATATTTCATGGGGCAACAGCTCAACTATCGTAACTCTGGTTTTTTTTAATTCCTCAGGAGGAGCAAAAAAAACCCTGATATTTCACCTCTAAATCCATCCACAATACCTGCAATTTAACTTTAAATTACTTAAACACTTTCCATCCACGCAGCGTGCAGAGTGCACAACCTTGATCCCGGCATATGAGGATATAGACGGGCTACATCATTAGGCCTACTATATGTAGCCTACCTGTATCCCTGCAAAAATACCCCAACCATTATGAAGTTTTCAGCATATTGAGAAAATTGAACGAGACGATCACGTTTACCAAAAAAAGGAATTAGAATCGGAACTAAAAACATTAGATCTATCTATCAGATTCATCACCCAAATTCTCATCACGGCGTAAGTGTAGAGCAGCACTCATTCCAGGTCTACTCGACATCATCATCATCATCCAGAGCCAGATCTGCGACAGACATCGGCAATCATGGTTTTCCATTCATTCCTTTACTAGGATGCTCTCAAAAAAGCTACGTTTCCCTGATCTTTCCCTGTTACCCATTTGTTTAGGTTCCCTACTCGACATTTTTCAAAAAACATCAACTCCAATTGTTGTAAACCTGTCCCCGTGGTTTTATGCACCCCGCCTAATTTAGCAAAATTTGATCATTTTTTGCATAATATCTGATTATTTTCCTTTACCATTCTTTGTTAACATTAACAGAGTCGCATAATTTCACATTTTTTGGCTCAGTTTGCATAATTTCAGAATTTTTCTTGCATAAAATGACGGGTACAGGTAAACAAACTGATTTTTTACCTCAAAGTCAAAGGCCACACAAACCATTCAGAAAGGAAATTATAATAACTTTAACTTTAACTTTAACAAGTGCACATGTCAAAAAAGGGATCACTGCTTAACGTTTTTGTTGCTACATCACACCGTGGCCAATGGGGAAGGCATGGCTTTTTACTTACAGTCGCTGATCGGCGCCAGTGGGGGCAAAGTGTTAAAGGGTATTTTCACAAAATAATCACACAACTCTGAGGTTTTACAGAGCAGGCTCCCCCCCCCCCCCTCCCCCCCCCCCAAACTGCCTTGAACATTTTTTTTTTTTCAAAATGTGAAAAGTGATGGACACCGATTTTTGCCCAACCCCGACTTACGACACTTGAGCTGCTACCCTGAGAGTTATGCCTTTCCAAAAACGTGAGATACCGGGGTTGACAAGTATAAGGACCAAAATCAACTTTATGAAGGTACCGTATTCTAATTCTCCATCAGATCTATATATGTAGCCAAATGATTGCTCTTACAGACTGAGTTCCTGTCACAGCTGTACTGTACGCATGCAATAGTCTTGGTGCTAGGCTGCTTTACATCACAATAACATTGAGTGCGTATCTAACTTACGATTATTATTGTTTATATATATTGCTGCTCATTTATATTATGCATGTGATTGTAAGCCTACTTGTGTGTGCATGTGTGTGCACGTGTGTGCCTGTGTGAGTTTGTATGTGTGTGTGTGAGTGTGTGTGTGTGCGTGTGTGTGTGTGTGTACACGTGGTGGAACACCAAACCAATGTGCCAGGATCTGGACAATAAAGATGTATCTTATCTTATCTTATCTTATCTTAATAGCTAAAAATTTGTTAGTAACAACAATAACAAATACTTAGACCACTTTTCAGCAAAGCTGAGGTTTTATTGTAAAACAAAGAAGACATATTTTTAGAAAATACAGAAATGGCTCTAACACAGGAGGCAAAGCAAATCAAATCTGACTGATGAAATTGTTTCTGGCACATGTTATGAACATACCATAAGTAACATAATAAATTATAAGTAAACTGTTAACTACCAACAGTGTAAACTTTCTTTATGGCGTCGGTGGCCTAGTGGTTAGGCTCTCGGACTCGCAACCGTAAGGTCGTGGGTTCGAATCCCGTCAAGGGCCCGACGTTGTGTCCTTGGGAAAGGCACTTTACATGAATTTTCCTCACTCCACCCAGGTGGGAATGGGTACCCGGCTATAGACAGCGAAAGATCTTGTCAGTTTGTTAGTGTTTGAGCGCTTAATCGGCTGCTTGCACTGTATGCTTCCCGGGAAGCTGAGAATGTTTCGGAGTGTTGTATGGTCTGCTGGGGTAATAATATAGTGTAAAGCGCATAGAGCCTGCTGTTGAGCGGGGATATGCGCTATACAAATGCTATCTATTATTATTATTATTATTGATAAGAACATATAGAGTACGGTATGCCATTGTTACAAATAAGTTTAAGGTTTTTCATAACCCTCATGACATAATAACACATCGGATCATAACAAAGACGACATACTTCAGTTTGGACCCAAAAATTAACATACACTAGATTTCTAATAAGTCCATCGTACAAAATACTTTCAAATAATGAGGCAAATTTACACCTCAATTCAAAGTTTATTTACATTAAAAGTCTTCTCAATTATAATTATGTAATGATTTGTTCAATACAATGACGACAAACTTAAATTTGGGCTCTAAAAAAAATAAATATAGAATCTATGTCTATGTGACACGACGCAGTAGAATCAGGCTCTCGTCAACTTTTGGGCATCTGGAGTTATTGGTATCATCTTAAAGCTTGTTCATTTGATTATCTTTTGACGGAAAAAAATACACGCATATCTTGAATAGAAGTCGAGATATTTGCGATTGATGAAGCAGGTTGAGGTTGCCGGGTTTCAAAAGTAAAATTAGCTAAAAAATGGCTACCAAAGTTTGGTGAATTCCAAAGCTTGATAGTCCTTGGAAACTGAAAATTTACATTTTTTGTGGCTTAAATTAATGTTTTTCAGTAAGATCCACTCAGAAATATGTTTTTCAATTTTAAACGGATGCAAAAAGTGTTGAGGCAAAAAACAAAAGTAAAAAAAACTGGCCAAACTGGAGGGAAAAACGCCAACAATTTCATTATTTGGACCAGCGCCTGATTTCACCACGATGCCTCACATTATTGATCAGGCATTCTCATAAAACACTTTGCATTAAATATAAGACTGTTTTCATAATATGCATACACACACACATACACACACAAAATGACAAACTCACACACACACACACACACACACTTCATCATGTCCAAATAGCGGTTCGGTTTTCACCGTACAGATATCTGTGAGGCACTCTGGTTTATTGACAGGTTTCACGTCTTCCTCCTCTGTACAGATGTCATATAATCCGCTTATATCTATATATATATGATTTGGGAAGTGGATTTGACGTCGAATAGATAAATAAAAATGTCGAGGGGGAGGGGGGAGGGGGGATCCAGTGAGCTTGTCACCAGCCTTCTTCACTTTAATTTTGTGAAAAATTGTTTGATGGACGTTTGCTTTTTAGGCCGCTGAGTCAGTTCATCGATCGCATCTTCAGCAGACATTAGAATAGAGAACAGCTTTTCACCCTGCTCATGCTGCTGGGCATACTGCATCAGTTTCTTCATGGCATCCTTTGCCTCATCGGCGGAAACTTTTGCCCCTGGTTCGATTTCGCCGTCGTCTTCTTCCGATTCTGACTCCTTTGTGTCTGAGATGCTGTTAACTCTCTCACTGCTGACTGACATTTCCAATGCGGTCTCAACCTTCGTGTCGAAACAGACATACTCCTCCGCAGTTATGGTCACTACCGCAGACTCTCGCAGCCTGTCAAAAAGCTCCCCCATCACCGACTCCCCTGCGTCATCGGCCACCCTCTGTGTGTCTGTGTCATTGACTTCTTCTCGACTAGAGTTGGGCGGACCGGTGTCCAGAAAACCAGCACGCCGAAAGCAGTTTGCGACGGTTTTTCTGCTCACACGATCCCACGCCCACCGCATGTAGTACAGTGCATCGAGCACAGAGATGTGAAAGGCACTCGAGTCACCAGAGGCTGACTGTCCACCACTGATGTAGGCCAAGAACCTCTTCACCACCTTCTCCCTGTAGTGCCGTTTGAAGGAATGTATAATCCCTTGATCACAAGGCTGGCTGTGGCTGCTCCTGTTTGCTGGCCAAAATTTCAGTCTGATTGCTGCCAAGCCGTATACCACTGGATGGGATGGACATTTGTCGACAATCATCAGAATGGACCGGCCTTGAATTAAAAACTTACGATCCAGTTTTCTAAGCCAGTCTTCAAAAATGCCGGACGTCATCCATGCCTTTCTGTCGGCACGGTAGTCGACTGGGAGGCTCTTGGCATTTGAGAAGCACCGAGGCTTTGTGGTTTTCCCAATCACCAGTAGTGGAAGCTTTTCACTCCCGTCCATATTGGCAGCCACCATCACGGTCAGCCTGTCCTTGGCTTGTTGGCCGCCGGTGCACTTTTTTCCTTTAAAGGTATCAGTCTTATCAGGCAAGCATCGAAAAAACAGCCCAGTTTCGCCAGCGTTGAATATGTCTCGAGGAGAATAGTCCTTCAAGAGTGCACTCAGAACAGTCTTCTGCCAATCAGAGACCACAGTCTGGTTCACCGAGGCTGCTTCTCCACTCATTGTTTGGTAAGCAATGCCGTGCCGGCGCCTAAAGCGGTCCAGCCATCCAGGTGAGGCCTTGAAGTCAACGTCTCCGAGTTCAGCAGCAATTAACTCGGCTTGAGTTTGCATGATCGTCCGAGATATAGGGGCATTGATGCTTCGAGCTTGCTTACACCATACAAACAAAGCTCTATCAACGTCGGCACTGCCACATTTCCGCTGTCTTTTGCGTTCGGGTTGCAGGTCCCTAGAAGTGAGGCTTTCGATCTTCTCTCTGTTTTTCACTATGGTGGACAGAGTGTTATGAGGAATGCCGTACTTGGCAGCGATTTCTTTTTTTGATAGCAGTTTCTTGTCAACATCAGCAAGAAGTTTAATTTTCATCTCAATGCTAAGGTTTTTCCGTTTCATGGTCATGGTGCCACTGGACGAAAAGGAGAGGCTTAGCAATCCTGCTGGAACAGAGCAGTAGTAGAAAATGTGTCCACTTTCTGCAATGTACGGTGAGAGAATGAACATGAGTGAAGATGTGAAGCTAAGAATAGATCTCTAGCTCCACTAAGATGATGTAGGCTTACACAACTACACAGTGAAAGTAACAAGAGGCAGGGGGGGTTGGAGTTACGATACCAAAGACCGAGCAACACGAGGCACACACTACACCCCAGCGCAAACTTTGTTGTAGCATCCTTGTAATAGGCCTGTTTATTACAGTTTATGGCCGCTTGCTGGGGAAAATGGATGCAAGGTACTGACTCACTGACCGTGGCACTTGCCAGTGACAGGCTGAAAATTGGGAAGCGGGATGAGCGATCGCGAGTGGGGGTAGGGAGGTGATGCCCAGCACGCGAGACGCTCACGCCTGTGTGGCACTGTACTGTGTTGGAGACTACACTATGTAGGCCCTACATGACCTACTAAAGCCTGATGTGTCGATATAGGGTACTTGGCGGGTATGCGGACTTAATGAAGAACCAATGCGTTGACAGTTAGCGTGGCTTTTTCCCCCACTTATGTTTGTGGGCTTCGCCAGGTACCCAGGAAGCATGTCGATAAAGCACAGTGGGCCTGAAAAAAGCGATACAAGAGAAATTGTTTAGTGAAGATATTGAAGGAAAAATTTCGTAATTGAAAAATATGTCGATGTAATGTGAAAATGTCCATAAATCAGGTATCGATGTAAGTGGATTTTACTGTAGGCTCATCTTTTAGTGTTTACTACACCGTATCAGAGAGTCAGGCTACTTTCACTTTCAACGTTCAATTTGTCATTTGTCTCGGCCTTGACGTCACACGGACATTCAAAACTGGGCTCTTCTTTTACTGACAGATGTTCCTCATCAACACCCACAGATTCACTTTCCCTACCTATAATGTCATGTTTTACATCTTCCCTTAAACTGTTAGTGTAAAGAGTACCCGTACTAGATCTTGATCTAGTCCCAGAACTAGACGTAAGTTCACTTTTAACAACTATGCTATCAATCCCAAGATTCACACCTTCTCCAGAAGAACAAGGAACAAATAAATCACAAGTTTTCACACATCCACAGCCATTATCATTTCCAGGGATACGTCTAGATATCTGTCCCAGCAGAATTTTATGCAAATTTAGATCGCCAAATTATGCAAGACAAATGAAAAATTTAATGCAAGTTACCGTAAAGCCATTCACATGTTTTGCACTTTTTCAACAAGAATTTTCATGTTTTAAGTACAGAAAAATTGAAAACAGACCATATCAGTATCAGTAATTTTTTGTGTATTTGGAAAAAAAACAGTGCACATCAGTCCAAAAAAAAAACAACCAAAAAATGTAACCTGTTACTTTCAGCTGTTGATATCTATAGAGGGGAAAGAAAAATGGACATCTGGACCTCTGATGCTGGCACATCACTAAAACCAGGGACACCAGTCATACATGAAACATCAGCAGACATGAGAACAACTTTTGTTGGGTTGAAAAATTGAATATATGCTCAAGGCTCAAAATCCCTAACCCATAACAAGGGAAATAACCAACTTGTCACTATACATAATGAGACTTATTACGGTGACTACTTTCGTTTACTTTATTACTTACAAGGCGAGGCGTGAAGTAATTGTTTTGTGAAAAAAGGAAAAAAAAAAGAGAAAAAACACGTGGAATCCCAAATTATAATTTATGCAAATGTTGCAGAATTACGAGAAAAAACGCGGCCGCACAATCACATAAAATCCCACGTAGACAGCTAGATCTGGTCTATACATTGTTGTGTCTTCCTCACAGTTAGCGTCTAGGCATCTATTTGTTTTCCAGAGTACAAAATATCAGCCATCTTTGTTTTTCATAATAGTCACAAAGTCAATGTTTTATCATTTACGTCGACACTTCCATCCGATCTAGGTCTAGCAGTATTCTAACTTTAGCTCACCTGTGAAAGTTCAATAACCGATAACCATACAACATGAAATCCAGCGAGCAAACGATATTTAAATCGTAATTTAAGACAGCTGGGAACAAATTTCTCTGCCAGTCTAGCCATACTTAGATCTAGGTTTGGCCCTATCGACTCAAACCTGTTAATTCCACAGGTCTCATTAGATCTAGGTCTAGTAATTATTCAGGTTCAAATACATGCAAGTCAGTAAGACACCTTTTGGTTTTGTTTGAAATACAAATACTTTTGGCATTGCAAAAATTTCATTTACAATTCAGCCATCATTAAGTACGGCTAGCCTGACAGTCTAGTCGTCCTTAGGTACTGCTAGCCTGGCTGTCTACCCGTACTTAAGTACGGCTAGCCAAGAAGTCTAGCCGTACTAAAGGCCCTATTAACATTAGAAAACAGGAGGTTTAAATTACATGCACAGTCATTAAGGCACCTGGTTTCATCTCAAATACAAATACTTTAGGTACTGCAAACAAAAAATGTATATTTACAATTCAGTGGGCCTATTTTTTTTTTTTATGGTCAGTCTAGCCATCATATTAAGAGAATAAGTATGGCTAGCCCAGCTGTCTAGCCGTACTAGCCAACCAGTCTAGCCATCATTAAGTATGGCTAGCCTCTTCCTTTTAAACATTTCATCAAAGCCTGTCTGGTCTAGCATGGTGGCACTCCCGTACAATAGCGGTTCCGTTATATAGCACTAAATCACACTAGCACAGAGTACTGGGTATCCATTTATAAAAAGATTTAAATAGTCGGGTATAGTATCAATGTTTTATCAGTAGACGTAGATCTAGCCTACAATATGAGCAGTAAAATTTCCCTTGTATAATTTAACAAGGCAAGGGGGGTTTTCAGGGAGGCCACCTCTATTCTCACCCGGAGTGAGAATAGTGCAGGCGAGTCTTGTGGCTATTCTCACCCGGTGCGCGTTCACCAAATTTTGCGTTCACCCTAAACCACAGAATTCTACACTGTTATAACAGAAAAATTGTAGAATTCTGTGCCGTGAACAAACGTTCCATTACAACTGTAGCCTACTAAAAGCGTACAATTTTGTCTGTGGGCAGTGGAGAGAGAGAGAGAAAGAGAGAGAGGAGTAGCGCGAGAATTTCCGGGCAAAACAAAATGGCGACCCGCGTAGTTCGGCTCGATTCGAAAAGTTAAATAGCCGTAGCATCTTTGTAGACAACCCAATTAATTTACTTTTGTGTTTTAACATCATTTTTTAACTTTGTTTTGGTCAATTTGATCGTCCACACCGATAGACAGTATTCAGAAAGAGACAGAGAGAGAGAGAAAGGAAAGGAGTTGATCTTGCTAGAACTTCCGGGCGGGTGAGAATAGCCACTTTCTTTCAGGGAGGCTTGCCCCTGGACCTAACAAAAACATGGGGGGTTTCAGGGGGGCATATTGGACTATACTTTACAATTTGATGTTTTGCAATTAGGTTTGATAGGCTATATCTCTCCATATTCGGCACTGGCATGATGGCGCATCAGAAAGTAATTAGTCTTCTTAGAACCAGAAGTGATCAAAACTAGTATCCCCATACGGGACCGCAATTGTACAGGAGTGCCGACACGCAGAAAATGTATCTATTTCTTGGTCTTAATTTTAACTTCGACCACAACACACCGACTGCCGACTCGTTTTGTTGGTTTCCTTTCAATTTCCAAGTTGGAACGGCGCCCCATTCTGTCCTTTCAATTCACTTGATAGATCTACATTTTTCGTATATTTCATGACAGCATCTCCATATTGCACACATAATTATTCTGATCAACGAATAAAGGTTGCCATGAGGAGGAATGGTCAAACATTCGTTTCATGTTCCAAGTTAGATGCTACAGTACAATGTTCAAGCGTTAGAGACGTTCATTTTGTTTATGAACGATCAAACAAGTATGAAGAGCTTTAGAACAGTTTCAGCAGTATATTAGAGACCGGAAGAACAAGGGGAGGTCTAAGAAACTTATCGCGTTTATAACTTGTTCACTTTCGTCTGTCCGCGTTCGTTGTAACAATTCTTCAGCTCATTAAATTCAATTTACAAATGCGTACGAAGCTTTGGATGGTGCCCCTGTAGGCCAGCGACCAAAACAATTTTTTTTCTTGAATCTTCATTGATTCAGTATAATAATATTAATGTATAAAAAGCTTCTCTAATTTTGGATGCATACACACATTACTATTACATTTACAGGATCACTAAACTAAAGGTAAAATAAATGATTTGCAGTAGATCTAACCATGCCTACTATAATCGTTCATTTGGAGACAGCGACATCTCCCTGCCCCCACATTTCAGTGTAAGCTTGTTGTAGAGTTCCTCCCAACGATGTCTAGACATCTTCCCGTGCATTTCGGAGAAGTTCAACTCTCCCGTCTGTTGGAACATGTTTCTTTGACATAGGTTACATTAAACTATGTGGTATTGACCAAAATACACATCCCAATCTTTAACGTTTTAGGTGTACGCTGCAAATCACCTACTACTCTTTTTACCCACTGTGGGTTTACACCAAAGAAAACGTGTCAGAACCACAATGTTGTTTACTTTCGTCCGTTCGCGAAAAAAACATTTCGTTCACATTTACCAAGATCTATGCCCACAAAACTTCTGGACCAACTAAACAAAAAATATGGTTTCTTTTTTTTTTTTTTTTATCCTGATCGAGTCATAAAAAGTCCCTCTCTTTGCGCCCCAAATTAAAACCCGTTCTTTGGATGTAGACACAGGATCACTAAAATAAATGACTCAAGTCAAGTCACCCTCTCACTATACGCAGTTCCCGACCTCAAAACAGTCTATAGATGGTCTCGCGACGACCTCAAGACGATCTCAAAACAGTCTATAGATGGTCTCGGGACGACCTCCAGACGATCTCAAAACAGTCTATAGATGGTCTCGCGACGACCTCAAGACGATCTCAAAACAGTTCTATATAATAAGTCTCCGGATGGTCTCAAGATGGTCTCACGATCGGATCCGTGAGTGATCTCATCCGTGCCAACACACTACACGCGTACAGGCCAGCTCATTATCAAAATGGCTCCCACCCAAAGTGACGTTACTGAAGCCTGTATAGTTTTGAGCACTTCTCTAAAGAAAAAATAAGGCGAAATAATCATTATGGTGCAAACAATGGCTTCTTTGGCGGGTGGAATTCACTACATGTAACACTAACACGCACCTTTTAAAAGGAACTGACATTGTACTCTGCGGATTATAAAAAAGGATATTTTTACGTACGTGGATAAGGACACACATATCCTGGTCTTTGACTTTGACTTTGAAGAACAAAATCGTAATACTAATACTGTAATTTTGGTGTGAAAATATCTTTTAGACTTACAGCACCAGAAACGTTTCCGCTTTCTACTTTATTATTACCATACAATGTACTCTTTTCTCAATGCGCATCTTAAGTTACTAATTTTGTTTATTAAGCTATTCTGACAAACATTCTTGTCAGAACTTTGCACATATTCAACTAAATTGTTGTATGTGCGGTATCTTAGAAGGGAGTGCTTATTTAGGCCACATCCCAGCCAGCATGATTATGGCGGCCCAAAGTCAATTTGATGTCGGACAAACTTAATGTCCGCTCCCGGCCCGCTGCTGCCGCTGCAGGCGGCTGGGGCTCATTTGCACCTTCGGATTCATATCGGCCCTACGTCGGCCCCGCCGTCGGGAGTGATGTCGGCCCCAGGGCGGCTGCCGACCTATCCATCTATGCCGA